ATGAGTGCGATTCCGATAAACCTAAGCTCCGTGTACTCCAACACAATATAACCAAAAATATATCATATATATAAAAAATTGTCTATATCTTTATCTTGCTATAAGTCAAACATAATTTGATTTCATGCAGACTTTAAGAATGAACACTTTTGTTTCTCTGAAAGAAAGGACTAAGATAAGTATCAAAAGAGAAAATTCAAAGAAATTAAATTTCATTGTTTAGTTTGAAACTCTGATTTTCATAATAGCATTGTCACTGTAGCACTGTCCTCCTGTTGTTCATCAATTCACTCGAGCAGGCCCAGTAACATCTTCATTGTGACACTTGTTACTGTGTTTAGCATATCCAATATGTGACGGGTAGCTTGCCAGACTTTACCGTGCCGGGGAGATTCTCTCGGTAGCTTGCCAGGCTCTCCGAGAGGGGCAGAGGAATCAAACTTGGGTCGGCCTAGTCAGCCGCAGGCAAGGCAGACGCACTACCACTGTGCTATTGCTCCAGCCTTGATTTGCATAATAACATACAGATTTCATAAAATATTTCTGTTCAATGTCTAATTGGATTATTTCAGATTTATGTGTCACTTTGTAATTTCTTCTTTTATTTCAATACTTATGTAATTGAGATAGCAGCTAAATTGATATTATATAATACTCTCATCCCTGTTACAACTTCATTTCATATACAAAATTTTATTTTTTCTTATTTGTTTTAAGAAATTTTTAGAAAACAACTTTGATAATTGTGTCTTTTACTCATACCTGAAATTCCTAAAATCAGAATTTTTAATTTAGAAAGAAAAATGTGACAAAAGTATTTGAAAAATTATATTCAAAATTGCTAACAATTATAAAATATTGTTTTGACATACAAAAGCAAAATCATAGACTTATATGCTAATTTATGTAACTCTAGAACTTTGTTAAGTTTCAAGATTACCTATGAACATCTTCTTTTGGATATCAATTAACTGGTCCCCATAGTAGCTTTTTATTTTTAATGATGTTTTGATGCAATGCATATGGTTATATCTAGACCATTTTTATTCTGTTACATTATCCCTAAACTAAAACAATAACTCTCAAAATAAATAACGAAATAAACAAATAAGGCATATGGTGCAGACTAGTGCAATTATCTAATTTTTAAATGAGCTATTTTTTGGGTAAATCACAAAACCCCAAAGCCATTCACAGTGAGAGGAAGAGCTAAATGATCTATCCAGCATCTACACTAGAAATTCCCTTAATAAAGCTTAAAAATCGAGCAAAGGAAAATTTATTGATAGGAATAGTAAGTGAGATGTGGGTTATCTGAGTACATGGATTTTGAAAGGGATGTAGAATCTGCCCTGCCTACTTGCTTTGTATGAGTTTGCTTCAGGTTTGTAAGCCAAACAATATAATTTTCTGATGACCATTTGGGAGAAAGAAGTGTATAAAAGGTGACTTCATACCATCTCACAATGTGAAATTTAGAGAGACAAAGGGATGAATCAGTAATGGCATATTATCATATAGCACCCTTAAATATTCATAGTAAAACAGTCTCCAGATTAATTTTTATAATGCTGTTAATGTTCAGTTATTTGTGACATTAACATTATAAGGTCCAAAATAATTTATTCTCAGATTCTTAAACATTTAAAATACTGTGATCAACCTTTGGGGTGGGATTTAAGTAGCAAATAAATAAATAAATAGATAGGAATACTTACAGCTCCCTAGTGGAATAAAGTCAGTACAGTGGTGTTATGCAGCATTTGAGGTAGTCAAAAATAATGACATTTCATTGTATTGCATTGATCTCGCATACTTTAACGTTGATTTAAAAGAAAATCTTGGCAGGCAATTAACCTACATACAAAGATGTGTGTAGTAGGAAGCTCTTTTGAATTGCTAATAGGAAACTTTTTCTTTCCAACAGCCCATTGAGGACCCCCTCATTTTTAATGTGAGCTATATCTTCCATAGTTTATTAGCATAAATCTTTCAACTGTCCTTGGTGTCTAATATTATATCAGTCTTCCATGGAATAAGCTGGTTCCCTTTCTGTTTCTTAGGCAATAGGTTCTATTTAATGGAGGAAACAGCTGACAAAATCAAGTCATTCTAAAACATGACAGCATTTAAATATATATCTTCACTTACGCACTTACCAAGAATAGTGTTGTAGGAAAACAAATATCAAGAAAGGCCAATCATCAATCAAAGAGCAGCAAAGATAAATTGAGACTACAATTAAATCTAATGTCCCAAGTGTCTAAAAGATGTAAGGGAAATATAAACTTCATTAGAAATAATATCTTAATGTTAATTTTAACAGTATCTGGATTGGAGAATATTAAATTCCTTTTTAAATCATAAAGTTATATTCACTAGTTACAGAATATTTCACAAGAAAATTTAAATAATAGTACCTCAAATGCTGTATAATGCCACTGTACTGACTTTATTCCACCAGGGAGCTGTAATAGATTATGCGGGAAACAACTTCAAGGAATAAAAATTGATTCCAAAAACATTGGCAAAATGCAAATTAAAATTAGTTATAAACTAAATATCTATAAACAATAGAGATTTAAAAGATTCCAAGGAGTAATAGAGATAAATATACATGTAGCAAGATAGAGATAAAAAATATATATACACATATATATCAGTAGATAATAAGACTCTAGCAATGAACAGTGACCAATATATAGAAGGAAGATTAGCATACTGTATCATATTTTTGTACTGCACATTGAAAATGGAAAGAAATAGAGGAAAATAAATGTATTTAATAATGATTCATAGCTTATTTTATGAGAAATAATTCATTGGAATGTTGCTTTACAAATATGTGCTGACCTTTGGTAAAAGAAAGGAGTGCAATCTAAAATATAGTAATTTTAATAGGAAAAGAAAGGAACTCCCTTTGTTCTCAATGAAAATAAATTATTGATAAATATAGGAATCAAGATTATACGGAACATTTTGTAAGGATAAAATAATTATAGGAATCTTGAGTAGATAAAAGGAAATAGAAAATCATTTTTGATGCTGCTCATGATTTATAATGGCACAAAAGGTCATATCCCTCTGGTTTTGTAAGTGATTTAATAATAGATAGTATAATGTAGTATTCCTCAAACTTTAGTGTGTATCAGAATCACCTGTTAAGGCTAGCTAAAATCAAGTTATCCAAGATGCCCTAGAGTTTCAAAACTTTGTATGTCTGTTTTGGATATCAGGAAACTGCTTTAAAATTCAATGATATAATGCACAGAGTAATGTGTGACTTCTGTGAAACCTAGATATATAAATATATAACTTCAGGTATGCTTAATAATTTGCTTTTGCAAAAACCTTTTTAGTTATATTATGAATAGCCCTGTAAGTGCCAATAATTACCAGCAAGAAGTATACGGACAGCATTGTTTTTGTTTTTGTTTGGTTTGTTTGGTTTATGTTTGTTTTATTGTGGGTCCCTGTCTGGTGGTTCTACTCGAGACAAGTGTTAGGAATCACTCCTGACAGTGTTCAGGGGATCATGGGCCAATGACTAATCTTTAGCATCTCGCATACAAACATATGAGGCAGTCCATTGGACTATCTTCTGGAACAGCAATACAATTCTCATATTATTAAGAGAATACCAGTTAAGCTAAGTGTTAATTGAACTGCCACCTAGATTGATAGTAGGTTGCTAATAAGAGTCAAGTCTACTCCAGAGTCTTTTAAACTGACCTGACATGAAGAACAAAGGCCTATCTGAAACGTGCTGGACATTTCTGCAACAATAGTAAACACATCAAACACTCTAATCAATTATTGTGTTATTTTCATAGATCATCTTCACTAACAATCACTGACTAAAGGAAACCATGTGGCCTAGCTCAAAAGGGTGGGTAAAATGCTACATACCACTCACAATGGAGTAATGGCAAAAGTATAGTTATATTGTTCAGTTACAAGAGGGAGTGAAAAAATCAAGAGAAGTAACCCTGAAAGTTGTCCCTTAATCTCCTATCTTGAGAAGCATTCCCTGACCCACCCCTTTATACAACATTTTACTGGTATATAGTTTTGATGTATGTGATCTGTAAGATCCTATCTCGTTCTAGTCTATTAGTAGTCTGTTTATTGTGATGGTAGATAAATTGAAAACAGTCCTTGAGTTCTAATGGTTTAGCAATATTTTTTAACTACAAAGAAATATAGTGTACATTTTGTTGAAACCATACATCAGGTTATGAATTTTGATCTAATCCTAGGTCAAATTTGATCAGATAACTACTGATTAGCGATATATGATGATATTGTCTTGTAATGTTGAGTACTAGCAGTAAACAGAATTTCCAGGTCAGCCATGCGATCACAAGAATAAATAACCAATTTTCTATACTGTATTTCACTCTCGATATAATATCCAATTAACATATGAGATATTTAGTATGCTGTTCATCAGATTAGTTATAATAAATGCATTCCAATTTATAATATTTTCAGCTTATAGGGTTTTATCAGTACATATATCACTGTAAATCCAGGAAAATCTACACCCATATATTTGTAATGTTTTAGTAAATAACATCTAGAAAACATGGAGAATGTTCCTTAGATATAACTTTTCTTAAATTTAATTTATGCCTATGTTAATATAGAGACTTTGAAGAACGTGTAGAAGCGTGTATCACTCTTTGGCCTTCAACACTAGGGAGATAAGCAATAGCATTAATCTCAGATGAGGATACTAAAATGCAGGATTCAAGTTTCTTGTTCAAGTTTCCGCAAGAAGAAAACAGATGATTCTATTTGCTCTTTTCATTTTCCTATGCACCAGAGTACTTTATTAAATAGTGTAGAAGATGTAAAAGCCTATTAGATGTGAGTGGGTTTTTGAACATTGCCTATTGCAAATCATTATTTCTGCAAAATATTTATTTTCTAAGCATCTAAGTGCTAAAGGCATAAAAATATATAATATATTCAGTTAAAAATATGGACTCAATAGGATCCTTTTCTGATTCATAGCATGATGATTGAGTATTTACATGTCTGTGTGACATGCACCTCCCTTAGATTGGTTATGATTTTGGCACACAACCCTCATCTGATGTGATAGAAAGGAAAAAATAAAAAAAAAGGAAATCAATTAAAAAAAACTCTCCCAAAGCAATATCTCATTACCAATAATGCCAAATATAATATATAATATGATTCTATATAGAGATAGGAATAGTTGGATATAATTCCCCATTAATTAGTGTCTTTAAATAAAATGTGAATTATTTATGTGAAATGATAATAGTTGAGTAACTTATCTATCTCAGAAGTAGTCATGGATTTTTCATCATATGAATTTATGTGTAGGATCAAGGTGCAGCAAATTTTTGAGGTATTAAAGAACAGAAACAAACAAAAAATAGAAATAGTAAGTTTGATCAGGAGAGCGACATCAGTGAGAAGAGGTAATATAATATAGAACCACAAAAAATAAGGACTGAATTGGGTTGGGAAGTTGGAAGAAGAGAAAGTTTTCAGACTCATTGCTCACATAAAGATATTTCTAAATGTGCTTAAAGTGAACACAATTTCATATCATACACGTGCATGTATGTCCACATATATATGTGTGTTAGAAATATAATGCATAATCATTTTAAACAATATAAGCATAAAAGTATATTAAATGTTTAAAGAGAAAAACAAAAAAACAAAATATAATAATATAATTTCTCTGCAATCAAAATTATAAGTGAATGTAGGAATATAAAAAGAGGCTAGAGACAGAGGAGGGAGTGGAGAGACATGCAGAAAATTGCCAAAGAGAAATATCAATAGTATCCTTCCAATGACTTATGATTTCACCTTGCCATGTGAACTCAGATAAACATCTTTGTGAAAATGTGGAATCCATTTATATATTATTTGTATTTTCAAATTCAAAAAATTTTCAAGCAAGAACATGTTAGCAAAATGTGCTAGCAAACCTCATTATTCAATAGGAACTACGAATAAGGAGTATCTGGAGGATGCAAAACATGAGCACTGATCCTTCAGCTTGAGTGATTCTATAGCTTACTAAATGAACTGCACATAGCTCATCTTCACATCACCTTTTTCATCCCTCCAAGCTTATAAATTGCTAAGTGTAACTACTGTCAAAGTAACATGACAGAAAAATATAATGACAATGATCAACATACATTTGCAGCAGAAATTGTATTAGATAAATTGAAATTCTCAATATAGTGCCATTAAAATTAAATTTTTTATTAAATAGTAATTAAGCACTGGAGAGATAGTACAGTGGATAGGATTCTTGCCTTGCATGCAGCCAAACCCAGGTTCAATTCCTTGCATTCTTCATAGTGACCTGAGCACTGCCAGGAGTAATTACTTAGTGCAGAGCCAAGAATAACCCCTGAGCATTGGGGCTATTCCTGGTATTGTTCAAAAACAAAAACAAAAAACTCAACTTTCAAATAATGAACTAAAGTATGGAACAGTATTTTAAATTAAAATAAGTACAATTGTATTAATATAAAATGGTTTTCAATAGTGTTCTTGCTTATTCTACAATTAGATCCCAGAGTATTGCTAAAAATAATTTTGTTAGAATAATTATATAAATAGGACCACTACCTAAATATACTTGATGTTTCCTCAAAGTTATTTGACAGGACTGAATTTCTTGTACAATGTTACTTCCTGTCAAAAATTATTGGAGAAAAGCTGTTAAATTTTTAATTTCTTGCAAAATGCATGTTAAAATAGTGAACTTTTTAATACCTTTGCAACAGATTAAGTAACATCTTTAAATATGACTTGACATTTATTTGAAATAATTGTGTATTTCTTCCTCTTTTTGTGAAATCATGGCTGTCACTACATAAAGATTAAAAGTATATTTTTAAAGGCCACAGATACAATAAGCAGATGTCAAGTGTACTCAGTCATTTGAAAAATTTTCTTTTCTCAGCAGGTTGACTTCTTAATTATCTTACCTTTTGAGAGATCTGCTATATATTTTACATAATGATCTAATTATATGTATTTTATCTTCCTCCTTCAAGCAGTAGGATTGTAGTTGTGTATGTGTGTCTGCCATTAGGTAAATTGATGTGGAAATGGTAGGCAGAGATTACTTAGGTCTTTATCTCCTGTTCTTGATTTCCTTAGAAATGAGTTCTTCATTCGTTCTTTTATATCCAGTGCTCTCCTCAATTCCAGATGTTTGAAAAGAAACTCAATCTGCAGTTTAAATAAAACCCATACTATATCTTCATTTTATCTTAAAGCAAAGGGAAATATTTAAATAATAGAATATAAGGCATCCATAAAAGACATGGATTAAAACATTAAAGAACAAACATTCCTGAAACAAGCACAATAACTAGTGGGCATAATTTTACCTTTGTTTGACCATTTAAATTAAGTAGATATGAATTCTGTTATAGAAGATATGGGGTTTCTTAGAATCTGCAGTATTAGAGATTATCTGGGAACTTTGCTTTTGCTCAGAGGTCTCTAAGGGTCAAAACTGGTACACCTCCAAGACCTGTACTCTTTACCTGTTGTAAAACCCCATTGCTGTACTCTGCAATGCTCAGAGGACCATGTTTTGCTGGAAACGGAGCCAGGATTAGTTGCATACAAGACATGCACCCGTATTATCTCTCCAGCCCTGCTTACTTCTATCCTATCTTGAAAATGATGATCTTGTATTTTAACTTATGTATATTTAGCCTGATTTTCAAACTCAGTAAGAACAGGTATAATTTTGAACTAATTTAATAATTTGCAGAAATCAAAATTTCAGTGCTGCTTGAGTCATTTTAAGAATAGAAGAGTGATGTACTTTCTTGTATTAAAAATACATATTGTAAACCTAGAGTGATGGGATAGGTGTTAAGAAACTTGCTTTGCCTGTAGCCAGTGGTTAGCATGGTATCTAGTACCATTTACAGCCCCTGAAGACTACCCCTGAAGACTGTCTCCTGAGTATAGAGCTGAGGTACGTCTTAAGCATAACTTATGGGCATCAGTACCCCTTCCCCCCAAATAAATGAACCGCGAACAATGCATGCTTAGAAATTAACTAGAAATGCACACATTTATTTAATATTTCCTCCCCAAACAAAATCCTCTTGGGACCATAAATAAACAAAATTTAGCAGTGAAATAAGAAATTTTTCTCTGAGAAGTTTGTTCATGGACCCATAGTTGGCACAGCAGTGTAAAAAAAACTGAATAGATGTATGACTTTATTGTTCTTGGAAAATCAAAGCACATCTCATTCATTTTTGATAATTATATAAAATGAGCCAAAAGAAGGTTCAGAAAAGGAGATGTCAATTTTGATTACTTATCTTCTGCTGATTTTCATAGGTCAAATCTAATTATCATCTGTTTTAAAACATACTGACAATTACACTTGTACTGAAAAATTGATACTTAGTATTAAAAGTTTTTTTCCTAAAAATGTGTAAAGGAATTTACAGAGAAAAATGGACCAAAGGGATATCACAGATGGAAATTACTTCAGTTTTCCATAGTGTTTGTATTCTTTCTACACGAGGAACTAATGTTTCTCTCTCTGAGGATTTGCAAAGCTTTTTGATGGTTGTTGTGTCATAACAAAGGGAGGAAAAAGACATATTATCTTCCTGAATTGAGTTCTGTGGATCTCCTGTATATATGTATTAACCTATGAGAAAGTTTTTAAGACTCATTTTCAATTACTCATACTTAAAGCAAAAATTTCTAATTCATTATCCCATGTTTAGTTTTCCCTAAAGATTGTAAAAGTGCACTCCTGCGAATGTTATAAATTCACAGGATATTTGGGATTTTAGATAGACAAAAAATAGATGTGCTTTCGAAAACTTTTCTATAAAATAAGCATTTTCCCTTCACATCAAAGGAGTAGATATCAGTGCTATGAGTTTCTCATTTCTTGAGAAAAAAACAGCCTTTGAAATGGTTTTAGGGATAGTATTTGTTTTGGGTTTTGATTTGGGGTTTTGAATCATACCTGACAGAGTTTGGCTGTGCCCTAGGCTTACTCCCGGGAAAAGTAAACTTTTTGTAATGTAAAACAAAAGAAAACATATACAATCTTTAGCTACTTCTAAGTGGCTAAAGGTAGAATCTACTCTACTTTGTTCTAATTGAGAGAGGGGGAATAAATAGCTGTGAATTGAAATCACCAAGATCAGAAGGTAGTTTAACCCCTGCGATGCAATCAGTCAGACACGGAGGAAGAGAGAACAGCAGGATGAGGCAACCAGGGATTGCGCCTGAGGGAAGAGAGGGAGTAGCAACGGAACAAGTTCCTGTGGTTAAGACAGGTCTGAGCCACAGACATAACAGCCTCACACCTGGCAAAATTTTAAAAAGGTTGGTTTATGGGAGCTCCGTGACCCAGAAAATGCTGTCACCAACCTTTGGATGGTCTTTGAGCTCCGTGAGATTCTATTACTCTAGATTGCAAGTACAAGCTCCCCCTTGAAATATGCAGATGGAAAAAATAACATGTATTATTGTATAAATGCTATTATGATTTTTAAAAAGTTATTTTTAAAAAAATTCTTGAAATCCTGGTAGAGTCCCTGGGATTCTAATATGATGGCATTTATTAGTAAGCATGAAAATTCTATTGCGGAAAAGTTAAACCAAACTAAACTGAAAAACAAAACAAAATCAAACAAAACTAACAAGGCGAAAGGTATAACACTGCACTGCCCTCCCTTTGTTCGTTGATATTGATTTGCTTGAGGAGGCACCAGTAAATGTCTAGATTGTGAGACTTGTTGTTACTGTTTTTGGCATATTAAATATGCCATGGGGAGCTTGCTAGGCTTTGCTCTGTGGGCAAGATACTCTCGGTAGCTTGCTGCGCTCTCCTAGAGGGGCAGAGGAATCGAACCTGGGTGGGCCGGGTTGGCCGCATGCAAGGCAAATGCCCTACCCACTGTGCTAATCTATCACTCCAGCCCACGGGGAAAGGTAAGGGGGGGGGGGCGGAAGGGGGAAGAAACCTTCTATTATGCTTCATCATGTATTCACTCATCCTTCTCAGTGTGCTGGGTAGCAAGCATGATCCCTCTCTAC